AACGACTCGGTACTTTCGGTATATTATACCCATTATAAAAAACTTTCGGAACTTAAGAGTACATCCACTCAAACCAAACAAATATTTAAAACTAACAAAGTGAACTATTATATAGATTCTATTTCTGGTTTCTGAACCATCGTTCTGCCAATTTCTTTTCATTTATAATAAAAATAGTATATTTATTTTTATTACAGTTCTAGTACCTAATAAAGTAATAAAATATAATATCAAAGAAACCCGGCACGCCTCTTTGCATTTATTTACAAATGTTTACATTTCAAATGTACTTTGTTTACATTTCACTGAAATCCAACCCAAATGTCTGATAAACACATTTTCGTAAAAATGAGCGTTTGCGTAAAAATTTTTGTTATTTTCGGATTAAATTTCACAATAAATTTTGCCTCTATTTGTACATCTATTAACTGAAATGATTTTAGTTCAGATGTAATACTATACAACAGTAGATGCTTTTTATTGGAATAATAATTAGACCAATTTACTTTCATACTTCTACTTGCACAGTAAAATATTCGTTGTCGCAATAATCCCAAACAGTCGTATATTCGTGGAAAAACCTATACGCGTTTATTATTGTAACGCTTTTTCTTTAGTGACTCGAACTGTTCACCTTTTTTCTGCATTTGACATATGCTGCTTACTGTTCTTACACTGTTTTTTTATTGATCAGGTTATTTTTAGAAGTGATTGTTTAGCAAACTAAGTAACATACACTTTTCTATAGAAATGCAGCCACACATACAACAGAAAAGAAATTATTTCAAATACTTTATAAAAGGTATAAAATAAAATGCCCAAACGGGCTATCACAATTACATTACAGAGCGTTTTCGGAATGTTAATTCCATCATCAGTGTAAACGGGGTATACATGCTATGAGCCACCAAAATATCTGGGTCAAAACCCGTTAAATGTGATAAATTAACGTCCGGTTCCACCAACGTGATCTAAGTAAAATCTTACCTAAGTTTTGCTTAGTCAAAAAAATTTCTTAGCTGCAATTTGCGTTTCACCATACAAGTTTTTACTTAACTTAACCAAGAAAAAACTTAAGTTCTCAGAAATACCAACTTTGCAAAATTGTCAGAAATTCTTAAATCCTTGACTCGTTATTAGTAAAGAAACAACAAGAAAGAAGAAAAAGGAGAGCATTTGTGTCATTTTTCATGCTGTCTTTAATTCAATGTCATTTCAATATTTACTGTTATACATAGTATTGTGACCTCGTGATCTGCGTTCTTGTTATTTAGTATTTTATTTTGTAGTTGGTGTTAAATAAATATAATAGGTTAAAAATTTAGTGATAGTTTTAAAAGTTAAGGTAATAGTTGTAGTTTTTTTGTCCGTGAAATAGTTTTAGTCAGTTTTTATATTATATATTAGTTTGGAAGCATGGAAAAAGCTACCAAAAGAGTGAACTTTTCTTCTCAAGAAAAAGAGGAGTTAATATCTTTGGTATCAAAATACAAAGATATTATCGAGAATAAAAAAAACTAACGGTGTGTCTGCCAAAGATAAAGATGTGGCATGGGAGAAATTAAGTTTTGAATTTAATTGGAAAGGCTTAAATACCTTTAGATCCAAAGAGCAACTAAAAAAATATTGGGCCAATTTAAAACAATTGGAGAGGCAGACAGCAGCATCTATTAAAATAAATAGACTTAAAACAGGAGGAGGGCCGTTCCAGCCGCAAAATGAACCAGATGAAATGGTCCTTGAAATTAAAAATTCTAAAACAATGACTGGTTTAGATAATCCCTATGATGATGAAGGTGTATGGGACAACGATCATTTTCTACTAACAGGTATGTAATCTTCAGTATTTAATATGATTCATATTATTTCAAATTTTATTGTTTTTAGAGACAGAACATGAAACGAACAACTGCACTACAGACAGCACTTCCTACAGTGGTACATCTAGTACATCAACAGTTATACCAGAAGCTAATACCAGTAGTTTAAACTGCAAAGAGTTAAAGATTTACAAAGGTAAGTAACATTGTAAACAGATCTGCAAATGTATCAATGTTAAGGGCTCAAAGCAAAATTATAATATCCAATGAAAGAAGGATTTCACTTTCACCTCCAGATATTAAAGAATAAACAAATTCATAATATGCATATATATATATATATATATATATATATTATTATAATATATATATATATATATATATATATATTATATATATATATATAATAAACACATTTTCAAAAGAAACTAAACTTATTAAAAGTACACAAAGCCAATCACAAATAGACTATTTCACTATAAGAAAAGAAGGTTTACATGAATGTAGGACTGTAAGGTAATAATTAGTGAGCCAGTAAGCCAACAAATAAGTTGCTTGTCGAGATCCTTAAAAATGCTGCTATTGAAATACTTGAAGAAACATCAGGAAAGAAGTTTGAGAATAAATAAAGACACTTGATGGTGCAGTACCACAGCTAAAGAAGTATGCAGAAACATATACAATGAAATGAAAACTAAATCGAAACTATTTTATGGTTTTAAACATATACACATTTATACAAGCAGCTTGATACCAGGAAAGGAGAGGCAAATTATATTTATTTATACATAAGTAAATATATTTATATATATATATATATATATATATATATATATATATATATTATATATGTAAATACGTATGTAAATATTTGTATATATATATATGTAAATACTTTTTTCTTTTTTGTCAAACATGTCGTCTTATTTTTTACTTTTTAAACTTTGTAACATGTTCTTTAATTTTTAAGTATTTTAAAGTTTTTTAAAATTTTTAATGCCTTCAATAATTCAGATCACATTATGTTATTTAACGTTGTGTTTTATATGCTATGAATCTTACTTTCTGGTAAGTTTTTATAACTTTTATATTACATCAGCCTAATGTTATAACACAGTAATTTTCATTGTAGACCTTGATAAAGGTGGCAAATAACACCGAAAGCTCGGATTTCAGAATAAATAGTACGCCTTAGCAAAGCTCTTATTTTTTATTGACTACCACACCCAAAAAGAAAAAGTATATTTACATATTTTTTCCAAACTAGTCAAAAAATTTTGGACTACCTTATATATATATATATATATATATTATATATATATATTATATATATATATATTATACTACAGTATATATAGATATATAAGTATCTCTAGTACAAAACCCGGCCAATCGGTCCTACGTATCATCCCAGGCCACCACTTTCTAATATAGATAGACAAAAATTGCGGTGTATAAACATTCAAATGAGGTATGCTGGCCATGGAAATCACAATATACTATTCATTTTTTCATCCATAAAAGTTTTGTATATCGACCTAAAAATAGAGACCATCCCAGTCCAATTGACTTTCCTAACAAAGTCAGACCAGGGTATACAAAATTTTGTATCCAATAGTATAAACCCAGGCCAATGCTATGTTGCCAAACTTATTTTATCGACTTCGTATAACAAAAAACCTGTGTACTGATTATTGAGGTAATATAAATAAGTATGATGAGTGTAAATGTTCATAAGAGAATTTATATAGTTTTGGTATGTCCTCCTCCTCATCTTTTTGTTTGACTATTTCTGTCCAATTATCTCTCTCATGTGCGTGTTGTTCTGCTTTGAAAAGTGAGTAATCAGTCATGTCCTTTATTTGGCCTACCATCGTACTAGAGATCTTCCTCTGGATATTTTGCCCGTAACATTGCCTTATTCAATTATCATTCGTTGCATGCCTTCTTTTCTTCTAGTTACATATAAATCCAAAATATCTCATTATATTTTGGTTGATAGTTGTAGTCTAGTTTTTATATTAAGTAAGTTCTGCTAGTATTTAATTATTTGTGCGATACGCGGTCCATCATATGCGAAACATTCTACGGTAGACCCACATTTCAAACGCTATTATATGCTTCGAATCTGCTTTTTTGATGGTCCAAGTATCTGAAGCATAGGTGACGATAGGAAATATTAATGCTCGAGCAAGGCGTAATTTTGTGTTTTTTGTAATGTCAGTGTTCTTCCGTATTTTTGTGAGTTTGGTTGTTGCCGATCTTTCCATTGTGATGCGTCTACGGATCTCGTCTTCGTATCCTCCACTGATAGTAATAACGGAGCCTAAGTAATTAAATTGTCTGACCACTTCGTAAGCTGCCAAGTTTCTTGTCTCTGATTCTGTCGATAATCATTACTTTGGTTTTCTGGATATTTTAACTTTGCCTAGACTATTCATAATTTCTTCCAGTCCTTGGAAGTATATCTAATGGGGAATATTATACAGTCCTCTCGAACTCCAGATTTTAATTTGAAGTTTTTCGAAACCATATTATTGACTCTTACATTAGCGGTGTTATTTAGATAAAGCTTGTATAATAAATACATTAGGTTTCTCTACATACATGCATTTCTCTAAGTACATGCCACATTTTATCTCATTTTACGATATCGAAGGCCTTGGAGTAGTCAACAAAGCACAAATATGTTTCTATGTTAAACTCTCGAGATTTTTCGATAATTTACCGAATATTCAGAGTGTGTTCTCTTGTTCTTCTACCTTGGACGAATCCGCATTGTTCTTGGGGAATATGTGCTTAAAGAATTGATTTTAGTCTTTCATTGATGACGGTTAGAAGTACTTTGCTCGTGTGAGACATCAATACTACTGTACGGTAATTACTGCAGCCTGTCGGAGAACCTCTTTTATATATTAGAATAAACGTAAGTTTACTCCAGTCATTTGGAGACTTTCCGGTATTCCAGATCTCACTGCAAATTCTAAACATTACTTCCGTCCCTAATTCTTCCATTCCTTTGAGTGTTTTTAGCTCTTATTCCATCTTCAATTTCTGATTTCAATATTTAAGGTTTTTTTTTAACTTCAATTTCCTAAATTTCCAAAAATTGCTTTCAATTTCCTATTCTAATGCCAAAATATTATTTAAAGTAGGTACATTTAAAAGGTCAGTAGGAATCAAAACCAAAATTATGTATTTATTTTAAAAATGAGTAACATAACTAAATTAAAATTATTATTCTAAAATACACGTTAACTTTTAGAATATTTAAAGATATTTAAGTCATATTGTATAATGCGTGTACTGTCCCCATAAAATATATAATACATATTTATGTGGGTTGATTTAAATTACCCTTATACATGTTGAAAACAACGGCCTTAATGGTGGTCCATTTCATTTTTCGAAATTCTTCGGATTGCTGCTCTTGAAAAGCTTCAACTTCAAATTTTTTAGGTGGTCTTTTTTCTTTAATATTATTTTTAAAATGTTGTGCAATTAGTCTTTTTTGTTCAATGTTCCATTTATGTCTGACAATTGGGATTTTTCTACAATTCATTTTACTACTTGTACTGGGTACCTGTATTGTCGTGCTAGTAATATCAGCACTGTCATCGTTTTTGTAGCTAATTATTTTATCTTTAATTTGATCTTCTTCGATAATTGGATTTGTCAAGTCAATTTCAATCTCGTCCAGATTCTTACCCTTATATTGCTCTATACCTCCTTCAGACATCAATAATAAAAGTTTCGAAACTTTTGCTGTTTGGTACAAATTATCAGACATTCTATATACTTTAAAGTGTGTTTTTAATGTATGCCCCATAAACTGAGACAGCTGTTCCAGTTCTTTCTCATCAAAATGTAGTAGTTGGGTAATAGTTGCTAGGTGTTTTCTTAATTTAGTTGCACTAATTGATTTCGGGTTATCTGTGCCACATTTTTCAGCATATTTGTATAAAATTTTGGTGCCATCTAAAAATCCTTGCCCAGCCGAATGAAAAATATATTTATTCTGGTTTACAAATTGGTGTCGTAAGGAAATAAAGTAGTCGAAATGCTTTTTCATGTCTGGGGACAACAATATTGGTACACCCCTACCTCGCTTTCCTCGTATAACAATGCGACAATAAGAATTCAACAAAATTCTTTCAGACTCTGTTAGGCAATTTTCAAACTCGGTGTTTCCAGAATTATCCTTAAGATTAATTGCAAGGTACTTGTCAACATTCATTTGAGCTACCTCTGCAGGTCGGCGCCTGTTTAATAGTATAATTTGCGCATATACTATTTCTTTAAGTAAATTATATGATCTTATATTTGTATTGTCATTCTGTAAATCAAGAAAAGCCTGATTGGCCCATTCTTTCAAAAATTTGTTCATATTTTTTATATCGTTCGTTAATGGTATTAAATCATTTTTATTCCACTTGTTCTCATTCAGATTTAATCCTGCCTGAGCGGAAATTTCGTCAGACCATTGCGATTCAATTAATTTTTTTAGTATTTTTAAATCTTTTCTCTGATCGTTGGTATTTTCTATTTGAATATAATGGATGTAGGCTAAATCGCAAATTTTCTTAAGCAGGGTACCAAAATTCATTGCAACTGTGGGGGATTCATATTTTTCAAGTTCAGCATTGTATCGAGCAATATGGTTGACAGCTTTTAAAATCAAAGAAAATTTTGTGGGTTTTAACAAGTCGATAATACCATTAATATTTTCGTGTGCTGAGCAAAATTGGAAAAGCTTAGATAAGCGACGCATGTTTTGACGGACTAAGTCTAAATTTCCCTTAGTTTTTCTGCCTTTCATATAAGAATATGCGTATTGACAAATTAAAAAGTCACGCTGTGCGATTAAGTTCGTTTTGTCTGCACGCATTCGAGGAAATAGTTCTTTAACTAATAACTTGTCATGCTTAAACAACGTACCCACCAGTAGTGCACTTTGGCCATCACTTTGTGATGTTTGTCTCTTTTGTTTAGTATTTATTTCCCTATTTTCTGGACATTTCCTTGTGTGTTTAAAGAGAGATTTTCGTTTATAAAAACCGAAGCAATAGGTGCAGGGCAGGAAGCTGTCTCTTAGAGAAGTGTCACTTTGTACCAATCGTTTTACGGGTCTTAAAACATTAGTTATTCTATTTCTTAAGAAGTCTCCTTTTTTACGTAAAGACTTAATTAGCTCTCGTCTTTTTTTTGACTTAAGCGAAGCCCCCATAATTTTTTGGACATCAATTTCATTAAAATGCCAGGTGAAAATATGTCTAGAAAAATGGTCCACGTCTTTTTCACAATAGAAGCAAAATGTGAATTTGTCATAATAACTTGCATCCGTAACTTTTTCGACTCCATCAGCCTCTTCATTTTCCTAAAAAAAAAGTTATGTTGACACTGTATTTTTATTTTAAAATTACAAATTAAACAAATTTAGTTTGAAACCTACTTTGTCATAGATAGTATTATTTCCTGCATCTACTTTCGTAATACTTCCCTATAATAAACAAAAAATCACGATTATTGAACCAAAAAATATGGTTAGGTTAAAATGTTTCCTTGATTCTGAAAAGAGAGGTGACTCACCTTTTTGTTTGAACCTAATAGATTGGAAATTATATTAGATTGACATGGAGCAGTCTCAATGGGATCTTGACGCAAATGTTCATTTTTGTTTGATTCTTCGTTCTAAAACAATAAAACCTAAGGCAAATCTGCTAAATAATTTTAAAATAATTCCAAATTACCATATTTCGTAATGCAAATATATTTGGTTGAATTTGTATAATCGCAGATGACGCGGAATAGTTTGTTTTAGAACATTCTGTATCCAACTTGGTGTCCTAGAAGGAAAGTATTAATGATAAATTATAATTAAATTATAAATAAATAATAATGATAAATTAAGTATACCTCTGAACATATTGAAGGGCTACATATTGTGTTATCTAAATCCTTTCCAAAGTTATCATCATCATCATGTTTTCTTTTTCGCCCAAAAGTGGCCTAGATTAAACAGATAAAAATTAATAGAAATATATTTTCGGTTCGGTATTGAATTCTTTATAATAAAATAAATTATATAATAAACAATTATATAAATAAAAAAATAATTTGCAAGATTAATATGTACAGCGTTCAACTATAATGGACCCTCTTAATTTTTTATTTGACATAAGTTGGAAACAATATAAAAATAGCCATATTGAGCACTTGTAAAAATATTTGTTTTACCGTTAGAACTCCTTTTTAAAACTCATTATATCAGGCGGTTTACAGATGTAAAGACAAAGCTGGGTTTTTACCCACCTCGGGAACAAGCTGGTTTCCGCCCTAATTATGGCACAAACGATCACCTGCAGTGCCTAAAAACCCTAATAGAAAAAACTAACGAATATAACCGTCCCTTGGCATTGATATTTGTAGACTTTAAAAAGGCGTTTGATACAGTGGAACTACCGTCCATCTTAAGAGCACTACAAGATTGCAGGATCGACCACAGATATTGTAATATAATTAAAAATATATATGAAAATGCCACAACAACCAAAGTCTATATTCTGCAACTAATAAAATAAAGATAAAAAGGGGAGTCAGGCAAGGTGATACCATGTCACCAAAGCTGTTCATTACCGTTCTCGAGTATGCATTTAAAAGACTAACATGGCAACAGAAAGGAATATCTATCGATGGAGAAAGATTAAACCATCTATGTTTTGCGGACGATATCGTGCTTCTGTCAGATAATCTGGGAGAGATCAAAGACATGCTCCAAGAACTGAATGACATACTACAAGAAACTGGGCTGGAGATAAATTTTGAGAAAACCAAAATGATGACCAATATGGTTCCCAGCGAAGAGATACAGATCAATAACAACAAGGTAGAATTAATCGATAAATACACATACTTGGGTCATGAAATTAGAATAACCAGAGACAACCAAACCTGCGAGCTAAATAGACGAATCACGTTGGGATGGGCGGCATATGGACGGATGAGAGACATTTTTAAAACAAATATCCCAATTCACCTGAAAAGGAAGGCATTTAACCAATGCATCTTACCAGTCTTGACCTACGGAGCAGAGACCTTAACTTTAACGAAAGCTACTGCCGAAAAACTGAGGGTAACACAAAGGCGAATGGAGAGATCAATGCTGGGCCTAACCTTGAAAGATCGCGTAAGAAATGAGGAGATACGCCGACGAACTGGCGTAGACGATATTATACTGCGAATCAATAAACAAAAGTGGAGGTGGGCTGGACATGTTGCTAGAATGGAAGACGGAAGATGGACGAAGAGATTATTGGAGTGGAGACCAAGAGCCGACAAGCGAAGTCGAGGCAGACCACCCACCCGATGGACCGACGACCTAAAGAGAATAGAAACAAACTGGATTGCAGCAGCTAGAGATAGAGAGAACTGGAGACGTTTGGAGGAGGCCTATATCCAACAATGGATGTGAAAATTCGGCTGGATGATGATGATGATGATGGTTACAAAAACGTATATATTTTTAAATAAGAACATCCTGTTTATATTACATTTTGTGATTCTAAATCATATTCTGAATAAATTTTTTTTAAAGGCACCCTATTGCAAAATTCAATAGTTCCAGAGATATTTGAATGTAAAAATTATTATGTAGACCGGTCCATCTGGCTTTTGTTGATCTAAAGAAAACATGTGATTCAATACCTAGAATCAAATTATGGGAAGCATCGAATGATTTAGGAATCTCTCAAATACTAATAGAAGCAGTTAAATCACTATACCAAGAAAACAAAGTAGCTATTAAATGTGGAAATAAAGTGTCTAATCCATTTAAGACTACAAAACGACTTCTATAAGGCTGTGCTTCGTCTCCCACTCTGTTTAAAATATTCTTGGAAAAGACACTCAAACCATGGAGGAGAAAGTGCGAAGGAATGGGCATACCAGTAAGAGACGAATACCTATACACCTTAAGTTTTGCCAACGATCAGGTTGTCATCGCACAAGATGAAGAGGATCTCAGCTTTATGCTCAAAAAACTAGAAAAAGATATAAATTAAAACGAAATGGAAATAAACTTAGATAAAACCGAATATCTAACAACAGAAAACAAGGATATGAGAAATCTAGAGAAGGACGAGGAAAGACAAGTCAATGGAACAGATAAATTCAAGTATTTAGGAACTATAATATCGAACCAGGCAACAATAGAAGAAGATATAAACAACAGACTGAGACAAACAAGAAACTGTATAAGACAACTAAACCGGACGTAAAACTAATATTTTTAAAAGTGTCATGTTAGAATTAAAAATCTTTTTTATAAAATGACCGCTTTTTTAGTTATGAGAAAACATAAACCATATTAATATTTAATCGTGTATGAAATTTAAAATCGGCGTTACATTTCATGGTGATCTATTTTGTTATCATCATTGTAATATTTGTTATCAAATTAGGAGACCCTTTCATCGAGTAACCCCAAAATTTCAGTTACTTATTTTTTATTTTAACATGCAGTTTTCACAAATTGCACAGCAAAACGGTGACGGATATTTAATAGCTTACAATTTTTCTGTTTTCTGTATAAAATTTAACAAATAATTTCCTCCAAATATTGAAATTTTTCATTTTTAATTGTCTCAATACCTTATCATTCTCCCGTAAAAATTTCAAATTCTAAATGCACCTGTTTACGGAGCAATTAATATTATTTATGTAATGCCACTTGTCAACCTTATATTAAAAAAAATATCTCGCAAAATATTGAATTTACATATGGGGAACAAAATACCTTAATAAAGGAGAAATTTCAAAAATAAGTAAAAAGGGTAGCATTGTATGTGATATAATGAAAATATAATCTATTTCAGGTATTTCCGGAAGAATATTAATTTAAAAAATAATTTCAACAAATACTTAGGGTCCATTAGTAAATTTGGTAAAAATAAGTAATATTCCATTCTCGAGATATTTCTAAAGCACGGGCTAAAAAATTACCCTAAAAATTTATTTGAAATTATAAGTACCCGAATAGAAAGGAGATTAAGGAAAATAATCTTAAGTTAAAAGCCCTGTGATCATTTTAAAATTTAGTAACTGTAAATTTGTACTAAAGCTTATACAATTATTGTCAAATTGTCATATTTCTGAAGATTATCCTAACTTATTATATTGTAATTTTAAATTCATTGTTTTTATTTTTCTAATTTTAATTTAAGTTAGGTGGCGCCCTAGGTAAGTTGATTGGTTCATTTCTGAATCCTCAGATCCCAGCTCTCGACTAATTAGCTACTTGCTATAATAAAGAAAACTATAAGCACAATTCAAAAAAATAAAGAGTTACAGTACCTAAATAGAAAACATCATGAAATGTCCACATCCAACCTAGATGGGTCACTGATTTTATAATAATAACAATATATGCATACCTTCAATGATATGACTTCAGACGACTCAGTCTCTGACGGTTTATATAATGGGTCTGCTACAGAGTCATCTGCGAATAAAGAGTTTTCTTTTTCTTCCTCTTCCATTTGATTGTCCAGATTCTCATCCACATTATATAAATCATCCTCTATTTGACTTGTACCTGACTTTATTTCATGTGAGTTTTTTGAAGTTTTGTCTTTTCCATTTACTCCTTCAAATGTGTTAATACCGTTCAACCATCTTTCTACATATTTGATTTTCTCACAATTATTCTTAGAGTCTTGCATAATATTATCTGCAATTGTAAATAAACCATATACCCAATGACAATATTCTGTACTATGTGCAATTCATTTTTTAATAGCTTGATTTAAAGTATGTAACTGAATCAGTTAGTATTTAAGTAATTATATTTTCTTAAAGAATTTCAAAGCTAATTTTTAATATCTTAGTGAAACAGTAAATAGAATAATTCTAAGTGATTATAAGGTATCTGCTTAATTTAAATTTCAATTACCAAACTTATTTTTAAGCAACTATTAATTACCTACATGCAACATTTTCTATTATTATAATTATATTTGAATAAAAAGTAATATTTAGATAAAGAGATAACTTGAACTTTTCTTTTAAGTTTAAGACTTGTTTTCAATTTTAAATATAATGTGTAATATTAATACTTTTCTTGTAAGCATTAATATTTTTTTTATAAAACAATATTCCTGTGAAATTATTTAATTATTGTGTAAGATTTTAATTAATTAACACAAATAAAACTATATTCATTTATTGGCTAATTATAATACCTCAGATGAAATATAACTAATTTTATACTTACCGTTATTTTGTTTTATTAGGGATAACCTTAATATATTCTTCGCTCTCTGTGACATTGCTCGGAGTTGCACCGTACTCATACTGACGTAATGCATTCAGTTTCAGTTGTCCGGTAAAACATTGAAAACTCGATTGGGAATAACAGAATAGCAGTGTTGCCAATTTTATTGGCCCGGATTTGTTAATTGAAATACCTATACAAATTCGTTGAAATCAGCGCCCCAAGCGGTCATTTTGAACATTACAAAATGGCTATTGATACATATACAGACCACAGTAAAATTTGAAATAACTATACTCAGACAGGTTAGATTAACCTTGCTGTGGATTCGTCAGATTCTGTAGCGCGGCAGTTTTAATCTGACCAAATTTGGTGGCCTGAACGTTACTAACAAGCGAGTTATAAACCGAAACAATTCCAGGCCGCTTATATGGTCTGGGATGGTGGCACTGGCCTGGATTTGTGCATTCAGTTTACTATTTCTGGCCCGACTTTGTGCTAAAGATGTATCGATATATATTATATATTATATATATATATATATATATATATATATATATATATATATATATATATATATATATTTATATATATATATATATATATATTTATAGATACATTTTATGGACAAAGCTTATATAAGTTAAATAAAACGGATTAATTACAATTAAAATTTACTAAAATTACATAAATCGTCAATATCACAGAATAAAACATAATAAAATACACAATCCATTGCAAAATTTCACTATATTATATAAGAAATACTGGATATTAGTGACTGTCGATATAAACAAACAACACAGTTTATTAGGGTTGCAGTCAGAATATTGGCCGGGATGTTAAAAAAACACTCTTTGACTTTTTGTCGAGCTTTCGGAATGTTGTTTTATTCCTTTCTCAAGACACTGTAATAAGACAAATATGTTAATATTTAAAAAAATATCACAATTCTTCAGCGTAACTTACTAGTCGTTGAGATTATTTATAAAAGCGTTATAAATGTTGAGTGTCAATTTAATTTATTAAAGAAAGAAGTTGTAGATTTAAGATGCAAAGGAAGATGGTTGTAAAATTTTTTTTGCCGAATATAATATTGTATTTATGAATTTGTAGTTTATATGATGTTCTAAAAACTGTATGTTTACTTAACATAAAGCAAAAATATTTAAAAAACACACATAGAAACTTATGGAGGAATGTAATTAGGGAAGCTGACTCTGCATAGGAAAAAAGAAAAGAGAATGATAAAGATGATGACATATTAACTAAGTATCACCCATTTAAAACCAATGACTTTTCTAAACTATGTTGAAAGATAATAAAGTAAACATAAAAACATAGAGAAATAGAAACGAAAATATGTGGAGTATAGTAAAGCTTTAGGATTGATAACAAAGACTTCTAATGATATTCACAGTATAATTAAATTAAACAGCTTTTCGTATTTTTTATTCTAACTAAAATTAAGCTTGAGTAAAATAATTTTCAATAAAAAGTCTTCTAATATTATTATTATTTCTGTTTCCTGCAGGCACAATGTCATTGTCATCCATCACAATGTATTCACCAATACCATCATTAGCTGGAGGTTGTGGTTCGCCTTGCCTGACTGCTACATTATGTAGACAAGCTGTAGCAACAATAATTGCTAAAGATAAATTCACATTCAGATGGCAGCGTTACAGAGATAGGCCTGTACTTTCTATATGCCAGAAATAACTACATTGTTGTCAGTTTTTAATCGTACCTACAATCGTACGTTATGGGCCGGCTCCTATAAAAGAATTATAATTTCGGAAATATTTATGAATGTGAAACGGAAAAATACTACATTTTTTTAATTATATAATTTTTCTGTTGGTATTTTAAAAATAGAAAGTTATATTTCGGAAATCTGGTCTTTTCGGAATTATATCTTCTGTTCAAAATTGTTTACAATTCGTGGAAATGAAATAATTATTTGTATAATCCGTTTTTGATCTTAATGTCCTTTTAATGACACACTTTCTCTACCTGCATTTACAGTTACAGACATTAAAAAATAATTTAGAATTAAAAAAATATACCTATTTATAAATTCAAAATTATTGTCTAATGCCAGCAATTATAAATTCAGGTAAATACTTGAGAGTCATTAAAAGAATTTTCAGTTGATATCAGACGTTTGTGTCGTGTCAGTGTCAAAATGGCCGCGAGTGTAATAAAATTCAAAAACGGTAATTTGTTAAATAGTGAATGCAAAAAAAATAGTGTTAAATGTTTTTAACTATTTATCAAACAGTAATAATGATAAAAGTGTATCAACAATAGTGCGGGAAGTTTCTGCTATGACTGGAGTCTCTGAGCGAACGATATTCCGATATAGAAGTGAAAGTAAAAATGGTCCACTCGTAACTCCTATAAGAAAAAAGAGAACCGGTTATTTGAATAGTCGTGAGAATAGATATGATGAAGCAACTCGGTCTAGAATAAGACAAGTAGTGCACGGTTTTTTTATGGACAATATTCCTCCAACCCTTGACGTAGTCCTAGAAAAAATTAAGCAAATGGAGCATCTTCCGAATTTTTCCAAGAGTACGTTGAGAAGACTATTGCACGACATGGGTTTTATATACGGCCAACAAGGTAGAAATTCAATCATTAATAGAAAAACAAGAAATAGTCGCTTGGAGGCGTCACTATCTCCGGGAAATAAAGAAACTGAGGAACGAAGGAGCCAATATCATTTATATGGACGAATCATGGGTTAATACTGGAATAACCAATGGGCAAGTGTGGCAAGATACAACAATAAAAAATAGCCGACAGGCTTTCGTAAATGGACTTACCACAGGTTTAAAAACTCCGACCGGAAAAGGACCAAGATTTGTTTTAGTCCATGCAGGAAACAAAGACGGATTTGTTGAAGGTGCTGACATCACTTTTCTTGACAAAAAAGGTGCTGAAGATTACCATGAAGAGATGGACGGAGATCTATTTGAAAAATGGTTTGAAGAGATGTTAATACCGAATCTCCCAAAAAATAAAAAGAATGTCGATTATCTTGGACAATGCATCTTATCACTCTAGGAAATTAAATTTTCCCAAACAATATTGGGGTGAAACGTCAAATTAAGGAGTGGCTCTATGAAAAGGACATTTATTTTGAAGAAGATTACTTAAAAAATGAACTTCTGGAAACTGCTAATGTATTTAAAAATATTTATGACAAATACAAAATTGATTGTATTGGTGAAAAATACAGGAATCACAGTGACTGAACCCAATAGAAATGGTGTGGAGTGAAGTGAAACGGTACGTGTCCTCTAAGAATTCAAGTTTCAAACAAAACGACGTTAAAACATTGATTTATGAAGGTTATGATAAAGTACAGAACAATGGACATTGGAAAAATTACGTCAACCATGTTATAAAATTGGAGAATAATTTTTGGACAGTAGACAACATTCAAGATGACATTGAACCTATTAGAATTTCAATAAACGATGACTCTGAAGATGAACTAGATTATGAAAATGAAGATGATTGAAAATTGTTTTTCGGGGGTATTCTTTTCTCAGTAAATGTAATAAAATATTTAGTTGATCTGGTTGAAATGTAGCACACTTAAATAACTCATTAATCGACATAATTTCAAGTAGTTATATTAGACGTCATTATGCAAAAAATAAAGTTATGGACATTTAATAAATTAGTGCACAATTGAGGCCCCTAGAACACAAGGGGTGTAAGTGCCAAAAACAAAGTTTTGAATAATCTTTGTTCAAAGTTCGATATAAATTTAAAAACCTATGTAGCACTTTTTCAGTTTTCAGCATGTTTTCAATGACATGTAATTTTTGATGGTGTTATTGTTGTTAATGTAGAAAGTTTGAAGCCAAAAGTACGTGCTGTTGTTAGATATCAGTTGCTAAGTGATAAGCAACTGCACTTACACCCTTGTGTTCTAGGGGCCTCAATTAGGGGTTTTTTTGCAATTATCTCAGTCATTTGGTTATGTATTTTAATTTACAAACTAAAAAATTAAAAAACTTTTAAAGATCTGCAACATTTATTTGAAACATTTTTCCCTAAAATGCAGGAGGAACAAAATAGGCAAAAAAATGATTTTTTCCAAACTTCATCTTTCTTTAAAAAATAAACAAAGCAAAATTGGCTGTAATTCTTCAAGGAATTATCATCAGTTATCCCTTATTTACCGTTTAGAACATTAAAAAACCTGTAGAATATTTTTCATATTTTTTTCCCTATTAACTGCGGTATTATGTATAAAAGCATTTTTGGAATTATTACCATTTATTTCATTCACGAATTTTCTATTAACAACTTTAGCTTACCTAAACATATCTTAGTTTACCGTGAGTTTGGCCCTGCTTATTTTACAAAAGTAGCAAAACTTACAATGGCAGTAGAATTGGCAACGCTGTTATCCTATATCCGTACACTGCCATCTGAACGTGACTTTATCTATAGTACATTTCTTAAATTTAGACGGCATCCATATGCCATAATAGGGAATCTCCGCTTCCAAACACCAAACACATGTTCCACTTTTACTCTAGTTCCTATGTGAGCTTCATTATAACTCCTTTCTGCATTTGTTTGTGGATCCCTGAGAGGAGCTAACAAGAAGTTGGTGCATGTGTAGCCACCATCCCCTAAAAGTATTGTAATTGATTACTGATTATTAGTTACATGTACGTGAGCACAATGTTAGACTATTGAATTAGTTTCAGACAAACATCACTCATCACACATCAATATTAATTTTGGTGATCATGTCACCAGTGGGATCTCATATCAAAGGATACCAAAAGATTGACTATAGTCCTGTATAAAATGGATAGACAAATATAAAAAAAAATAACAAAATTATCTACTTCATATGGAATCTAATACCTGCTTTTTAGTTTTGTGATTTTATAACCATTATACACACTGGCTAATGTTTCTTTTGTAATATAAGATGCTTACCTAATAAAACTCCATTTGCAAAGTCTCCTCTTATAAATCTTTGTTTTACAACCGAATTATTTAGAATAGTTTGGTCATGGGCAGATCCAGGCCAACGTGCTGTTATATTTTGG